CCGATGTTTTTGCACTGCCTTTGTTAGAGGAGCCTACAAAGCTTGAACAAATAGAAGATTTCAGAGGACTGAAATAAAGGTCTAGTAAGTGATCATGCTAGTTGTGTCATTTTGTCCGCACACTCAATTGAAGTGCCAAAGCATGTTGCGATATTCAAAAAAAAAAAAAGAATTTCAGAGGACTGAAATAAAAGGTCTAGTAGTGATCATGCTAGTTTGTGTCATTTTGTCCGCACTCAATTGAATGCCCGCATCAATTGAATGCAAAGCATTTGCGATATTTCAAAAAAAAAAAAAAGACATTTTTTTTACCAAAACCTTATAAAGGGCCAAGCTATAGCCAACCATCCATTTGACACTGGTCAAGAGCTGTAACTCTGAAAACGTTAAAAGAGCTATTGATTCCTTTGATTCTTTGAACTCACGTTTATAATTGATTCAATTGCGAATAATATTTACATCATTTTATCATTTTCTCTCCTGAAACAAGAAAAATGAGAAAAATTTTCAAACAGAACAATCTCAGATATGAAATGTCTGTAAAGCCCAAGCTCGAGAAGCAAATGGGGCACGATCGATTCCAAGGACCAGATTGGCAGACAAAGCACGAGACTCCATCCAAGAAATAAATCATAATTCATTCATGTTGCATGCATCTTAGACATACTTAGGTGCGTCACATTCATCATTTTAGCATACATTTTTTACAGCCCTTTGAGTCAGGTTTCAATTCTATTTCAAGATATACTCGACTTGCAAGCACCTTTAAAGAACAATGGTGTAACTCAGCAGCAAGAAGCTACCCTCAATCGACTTTACATATATACAGATCTCAGAACCAATTTCAGATGGGTTCGAGAACCAATTCAGATCAAATTCAGTTCAGCTCAACTCAACAAGAGCAATATGTTTTCAGTTAACACTTTCAAGCCAGATTTCAATTCCACGACGGAAGATATCGGCTGTCAAATTATCAGTAGGTTTTCCAGACCAGCTTAGGGGAACCACCTGAAGAATCATGATCGTTTTCGACCCGTAAAGGGAAGCCATTTTTAAACAAACTATTTGCAGCTTAGCTTAAGGCCAGAAGGGCTATCTGCCCACCAAGACCTTCGAGTTCGACTACGCTCAGCTCCAAGGCACATCATTTGCAGTACAGCTTAAGTTGAGAAGAGCTATCTGCCAAAGACCCTTAAGTTCGATTACACTCAGCTTCAAGGGCATAACATTTACAGCATAACTCAAGGCTAGAAGGGTTATCTGTTAGCAAAGACCTTTGAGTTCGACTACGCTCAGCTCCAAGGCACATCATTTGCAGAATAGCTTAAGTCGAGAAGGGCTATCTGCCAAAGACCCTCGAGTTCGACTACGTTCAGCTTCGAAGGCACATCATTTGCAGTATAACTTAAGTCAAGAAGGATTATCTGCTAACAAAAGACCTTTGAGTTCGACTACGCTCAGCTCCAAGGCACATCATTTGCAGAATAGCTTAAGTCGAGAAGGGCTATCTGCCAAGACCCGAGTTCGACTACGTTCAGCTTCGAAGGCATCATTTGCAGTATACTTAAGTCAAGAAGGATTATCTGCTAACAAAAGACCTTTGAGTTCGACTACGCTCAGCTCCAAGGCACATTTGCAGCATAACTTAAGTCGAGAAGGGTTATGCCAACTAAAGACCCTTAAGTTCGATTACACTCAGCTTCAAGGGCATATCATTTACAGCATAACTCAAGGCTAGAAGGGTTATCTGTCACCAAAGACCTTTGAGTTCGACTACGCTCAGCCAAGGCACATCATTTACAGAATAGCTTAAGTCGAGAAGGGCTATCTGCCAAAGACCCTCGAGTTCGACTACGTTCAGCTTCGAAGGCACATCATTTGTAGTATAACTTAAGTCAAGAAGGGTTATCTGCCAACTAAAGACCCTTAAGTTCGATTACACTCAGCTTCAAGGGCATATCATTTGCGGCACAGCTTAAGTCTAGAAGGGCTGTCTGCCAACAAAAGACCTTCGAGTTTGATTATACTCAGCTTCGGGGGCACATCATTTACAGCATAACTCAAGGCTAGAAGGGTTATCTGTGACCAAAAGACCTTTGAGTTCGACTACGCTCAGCTCCAAGGCACATCATATGCAGCATAGCTTAAGTCGAGAAGGGCTATCTGCCAAAGACTCCCGAGTTCGATTACACTCAACTTCGAGGTCATATCATTTACAACATAACTCATGGCGAGAAAGGTTATTTGTCAATAAAATTGTCGAGTTCGACTCTATTCAGCTCGACGATACCTCAATCCACTATTGTCGGCTGCAATCAAGGTTTTCAAATCGAGAAGAAGACATGGGTCAGCCGTGACTTAGTGACAATCAATCGTTTCCAGCAGCATAGTTTAAGTCGAGAAAAACTATATGTCAGTGAAGACCTTTCGAGTTCGTTTTCGTTCAGCTCAAGGGCATGGTGGAATCAAAGAACTACTTTCTAGTCAAATTTTAACAAAGGTCTTTAAACCGAGAAGAAGACCGAAGTGACTACAATTTGGAAACGAGAAGCTACATCCAGATTCAAATTCTGAATTGCAGCTTCAATTACATATCATTCAAGGTGGACTCGACTTCGCGACGGAGGAGCCATATGCAACTCAATTCGACAGGGAGTTATTCTTCAACTCCACGAACGAAAATTTGTGTCTTTTTGTCTTTGTCCTAGTTTTCGTTCCACGAAAAAGGACAAAGAGGGGCAGCTGTAGACACTAATTTCCGTCCATATTTTTTTTTAATTTTTTTATTTATTTTTTATACATATATACACATATATATATAGTTTGCAAATTATTTTTGAAAATACATATATATATAGTTTAAAACATTTTTTGAAAATATGTATATTATATAGTTTTTAAAATATTTTTGAAAATTATATAATATATAGTTTTGAAAACGTTTTAAAATATATATAATATATACTTTTGAAAACGTTATGAAAACATTTATATAATATATAATTTTTAAAAACCATTTTGAAAATATTTTGAAAATTATATAATATAGTTTTTGAAAACGTTTTTAAAATATATAATATATACTTTTGAAAACGTTATGAAAACATTTATATAATATATTTTTAAAAACCATTTTGAAAAAATATATAATATATAGTTTTTAAAACATTTTAAAAATTTATATATATGTTTTGAAAACGTTATATATATAATATTATTATTATTTTTTTTTTTTATTTCTCATTTATTTTTGTGCAGGGTCCATGTTCAAGAATCCAGTCCAAGTTTGGGCTGAACTAGCCCAGCAAGGGATTAGGGTTCCCAGTTTTAGTCACCGAGCAGTCAGGGAGCCAAACGGTCAACAGTGCCAACGGCCGGCCGAGATCCCCGGGACTGACCCATCCCGAGATGACCGGCCACAACAACCAGGATCCCGAGATCGTCGGGACTCACAACGGCCGGTGGGTTTATAAAAACCCACGACCAACACAGTACAGGGGGACACACATGAACGGAAAACCAAAGCCACACAGAGGAAAACCCATCAGCCAATAACAGAACCCACATACGGCCAACAAACGAAACCAAACAGTGAACCATCAGAATATCATCACAACCAAATAACCAAACACCCAACGAAAACAAAATATCGAAGGCAAACCAAACCACAATAGCCAAATACCAAACACACACACACGCAAAAATAACAAAAACAGTACGCGTCAAGAGAACTTCAGGAAAAACGGAAGGTCGTCGGAAAAGGTGAGGGGCCGAGGGTTTGAACTTAGATCTACGCTTATTGGGGTGTGTTTTGGGGATTTAGAGGTTGGTTTTTGGTTCACAGTACGGAGAAGAGCATTTTGTGGGGGTTTAGATATATCGACCACCGCGTCGGCGGTGGTCGGCGCGGTGGAGATGTCACCGGGCGGTGGCCGGACCTTGGTCGAGTCTAGAGAGAAGGGAGAGAGATATCATCAGAGGAGAGAGAGAGAAACCTAGCAAATGAGGGGAGAGGGGGTGAGAAAAGCCTTGCTTTAGCCTTAAATAGGCGCACCAAAACTACGTCGTTTTGACCCCTTAATTTGCCGTGTTCTGGAACAAAGGGGTGAAATCCTTTTTATGGTCCCTCCTACTTTGTATGCTTATTATTTAATCATCCAGGGACATTTTAAAGGTTCTGTTTTGGGCATTCTTTTTTCTTTCGTTCATGTTTTGGTCCTATATTATATATATATATATATATATATATATATATTCCGAATTTGAAGTAAGATTTGTGAAACTTCTATTTTGGTCCCTTCTATATGCCTATTTATTTATTTATTTATTCCTCACGGTTTCTAATTAATTTTTCTATTTTATCCTATTATTTTTTTCCTTATTCACTTATTTATTCATTTAGTCTAAACTAACATTTTCTATTTTTTTTTTTTTTTATATATATATTTTCTCTTATTTTACTATTTTCTAGTATCTTTCTTTTTACTAACTCTTATTTATCTTTGTCATCAATTTTTATCATTATTATACTAATATTTTTTCCTTCGTATTTATTTCACCATCTAACATTTTCAACATTTTCAGTGATAATTCCAATCGATCGAAGGTAAGCAATTCGAACCGAATTTTTAAATTTCAATTCAAATTTTAATTTTCTCAAATAAAGACAACCGATAAATTAATTGGTACCGAAAGGGCGGTTCAAGGGTGCTAATCCTTCCTTGACCGTAACCGACTCCCGAACTCGATATATTTCTGGTACAACGCAGATCAGGTCAGATGGTGTCCGACCTACCTAAATGTTTTTTAAAATGGTCGGTGGCGACTCCAATCCATATTTTTCAAGTCGAAGCCCAATTCCGGGGCCCACCGAAAGATGGTTCCGACAGTTAGGGAATGCTTTTTCTTGGTAAAGTTTTTCGGTCACTTTTCTTGGTTAATTCCCTCACTTAAATATGGTCTAATTGTTAATTTTTTGTGGTTTTCTGTTTATTTTGTAGCTTTTTACCACTATTACTGTTGATGAACCTGCGCCGGGTTTGAAGACGATCTTTAGTTGCATTGTCCCTGATCAAAGGTCTGGCAAGGTAATGGAGTTTTTCTTACTCTTGTACTTAAGCTTTATGTTCTTGATACCAATATTTTCAGCATTGTGGTTTAACGAATGCATTGCAGCTTTGTTTTCTCCTTCCCTTGTGTAAACTTATTTGGTTTCATGAGTACATGACAAGGTCTTTATTGTTGTTACAACAGGTGGAACTGCAATACCAACACGAATATGCTGGCATAAGCACTAGCATTGGTTTGACTGCAAGTCCCCTCGTTAACTTCTCGGGTGTGGTCGGAAACAATTTTGTCTCCGTTGGAACTGATCTCTCATTTGACACTTCCAGTGGGAACTTTACAAAACTGAATGCTGGGTTGAATTTCACCCATTCTGACCTCATTGCTTCCTTGGCATTGTAAGTAGTTCTTTCAGCAGAGCCGGGGACAGCCTTTAGGTTTATATATTTTCTTGTGCACTCTATTTTTTTTTATATGGAACTTCGATTGAATTGCTTTATGTGATTGTGGTAATTCATTAATTGAACTATCAGTTCGGAAGCATGAAAAATTATCTAGAATTATCTGCCCGAGTGGATTCTTTTATTTCTAGTTGTCATGTTTCTGGTTTTGATGAGGTATTTTGATGATACACTACAGGAATGATAGAGGTGACACTCTTAATGCTTCCTACTACCACATAGTTAGCCTGTTGACTAACACGGCAGTCGGTGCGGAGCTGACCCATAGCTTTTCAAGTAATGAGAACACTCTTACAATCGGTACGCAGCATGCTCTTGACCCATTGACCACGGTGAAGGCTCGTGTGAATAACTTTGGGAGAGCAAGTGCTCTGATCCAGCATGAATGGAGCCCAAGATCGCTTATCACAATATCTGGAGAGGTGGACACCGCAGCAATTGAAAAGAGTGCTAAAGTTGGTCTGGCTTTGGCACTGAAGCCCTAGTCAAAGGCAATTATTGTTCTGCCTAGGCAGGCAGACAGACGGGGCCGGCATTTATTTTGATTGGTCTGGGACTAATGTACTTCCATGGGTGGTAATAATTGTGATCGGCAAACTGAAATTAGTGAAATCTATTCATATGTGAAATTGAAGTGTTGCTTAAATTTGATTAGTTTGATAATCTTATAGGCGATTAGTCATCTCATTGCTCGATTTCAATTCAACCATTTTTGCTTAGACATTTCAATCAAAATGAATTAACCCTTGCTAACATTTTCAGGTTAGTCCATGCATACAGTATGTATATACACTCACGCACATCGTGGCATATTTTTGGGTAAGAGCACCATAAAATCTTTCGTACAAAAACTAAAGTTCCCTGATGCAAGTGATTTTAGTGGTAAAAAAATATTGTTCTCTTTAGGGGTTTTACGTTCGAACAACGGTAAAAGACTGAAAATTGAAAAACAATGAAAAGCGTAATTCGTACATTTTGCCACTTGTAAGGCAGATCATAAAAGTAAAAACGGTTCGATAACATTGCATGCAAAACAGACATAATTAACTTATTTCTATCAGCTAAAAACATTTAAGTGCAAATGTCTCCCACATTTTCCAAAGTTAAAGTAAATAGGAAAACAATATAATTAACAAGAACTTTCTTCAGTGGTGCATACCACTATATCTGCATTGGAAAGAGAGCAACACTTGGCAGTACCTCTAGCTACTCCACCACAAACATTGGCATCAAAGTTTCCTATATCAATAACTGCAGTTGGATTAGATATGTTATTGGCAGTGTTTTTGGTTTCTCAGTGCCTTTTCGGATGCCATTTTTACTCATCGCTGCAGCAACTTCAAACGGGGTAACAATTTCTGCTTCCTTATTAAACGTTGGTAAGCAAAATATGCATATTCTGTCTCCAGTGGCTCCTATAGTTTATCGAAAACACTTCTACCATCAAAATTGGTTACGTTTAACTTCCATATTTCAGTGATTAAAGCACTCTCAGTCTAATTTCCAGCCATCATAAATAAGCAATTAAAACAAACATTAGGCCTTTAGCTTTCTACACGACCTAGATTATTTGGAATTCGGATTTTAAATAGGATTGACTAAATCAATGTACATCATAGAGTCATACACTTAGGGGCCGTTTGGATCATGAATTTCAGCATTACTGGTGAGAATATTTTTCCTCCTTGTGATACACACGTTTGGATTGGCAAGATTCCCAAAAGGGGAGTAATAAAATATTCCCAACATTAATTTTTTTCAAATTTTACCGAGAATGCTAATCCCATAGTAGGCTTAGTTATTTTTTGTTTCCCTTCAACTTGGACTAAAATGCCCTTGAAACAAAAGATTTACTTCAAAAATACCCTTACTTTTATTTCAAAAGCTATAGTATATTATCACAAATTTATTATCATAACTTTATTTCAAAAATATTCCCAACTGGGAATTTTATTTATTTATTTATTTATTATCACAACTTTTTAAATGTTAATTAAGATTAAAAGAATATATGGTATATTTACTCTTTTAATCTATCCATTTATCTTTTAAATTTTGTAAAAAAATATATAAATTTTATAAATTTAAATTTAATAAAAAAATATATAAATTGAAAATAATACAATAATATATTTTCTATGAATTTTTATATAAATATTTTCATTTGAATATTTGGAATTCACCTTGTTAAAAAATATTATAATAACAATTTAGTAAAATATGCATTCCAATAATCTTTTATTCCTTTAAACAAACACTGTAATCATATATTCCTGTCAAACAAACCAAACATAATAATGTAACATTCCCAGTAATATGTAAGGTAATGTAACATTCTGGTAATCTTATTCCCGAAGGTAATATTACATTCTATGAACCAAACACACCCTCAAAGATCTTTGTTTCAAAACAAATCACTACTTCACAAATTTAACTTTTTTAAAAGTGAGAAGGAGCGGAGAAAAAGGAACAAAAATGATTAAATTCAATCAATAAAACCGTAAGTAGAGACGGGAAAACTACCAACAATCAAGAATTACCAAAAAAAAAGAAAAAGTGTGAGGATTAGTGGGCTTTAGTGGATATGTCATTGTTGTCGGGAAAAAGAAGGAAATTAGAGTGGGCTAGGGATTCGAGAGAATTGGGAATTAGGGCAAACTAAAGGAAAAATCGAATTGGAAAAAGAAATTAAGATGAAGTCGTTAAAGGACTATGAATAAAAATATGCAAATTCTGAATTTTTTTTACCTATTCTCTTCTTCTTCATTCTAAAACCTAAAGGACTCATCTTTACCGCCTCCTGTGACAAATTGGTATTAAGAACTATAAAAAAAATCTACACTTTTTTTTCAAGATGGAAAAACAAAGAAAAGTTTCAACCACGGTCGAAAAATCGGATTCGAATGTTATGCAGGACCAAGTCACGGACATGCAGAATAAGATGACAGACCAATAAAAGGGCATGGAGGACATAATGCTAAGTATGGTGTCCAAAATACAAAGCTTAGAAGAAAGATTAGAGGAAAACAAAGGTGGATTAACGAAAATTTTGAGGTTCCTGGCAGAAAAAGATAAGGAGTCCGAGAAAGCATTCAGAGAGGGCATCAAAATAGATACATGTAAATCCACTCAATCCAATACTCCACAGCCTCAAAAAAGGCCCTTGGCACATGTGACTGCTATTGATGACAATGAACGATACACTTATAAACCTTAGGAAATAGGTATTTTAGCTTCTAAACCTATCGTTGCTAGTTCTCATAATATTTTTGTAACTCAAGTAAGGCTCTGAAGTCCATTGAATCTTTGAGTGAACCCTTTGCCCAAAGGGACCACTCTAATAAAGAAAAAGTTACTCGGTTACACAACGAGGAGTCCTTTAGATCTTACAATTTAAGGTCAAAAATTGAATCAAAAGCACCTGATGGGAATACCCAGAGGATTGGGTAAAAAATGTCAGAAGTATTTTTCATTATTCGCTATACCTGATCATAAAAAGTTAAAGATTTTACAGCCATGTATATCGTTAGTAAAGTAGAAATGTGGTTTGACGGGTACGTACCTCATGCAAAATCCACGAGTTACTTGGACATAATTTGTTGTAGACATTTACCAACGATTTTGTGATAGAACATATGCTGATACTATTGAGGAATTTAACAAATTGTGGTACAAAAATTCTATAGAGGAATACCAAGAAAAGTTTGAAGAACTACAACCCTTCATGTTACAAAGCAATCCCTTCTGGGAAGAAACATACTTTGTTTCAAATTTTGTTAATAGCTTGAGAGAATAAATCAGGCACAAGGTAAAAATTCAACAACTTGGGTCACTAGCTGAAGCTTACATATTGAGCAAGTTAATTGAGGTGTTCTTGGAGCTTGAAGCGAGGGAGCTAAAATTTAATGTTCGATTTACGAATTCCTACCCTCAAAAGACCTCTGCAGTATTACATGTTACAAAAAACTGTTTTTACTGGTGCAAACTAATCATTGATCGATTTTAGGAGAGTCAACAACTTTTGTTTCAAGTGTGAGGAGAAATTCAGTCCAGGCCATTAATTGTAAAACCCATTGTTGAACTATACTTTGTATTTTGATCATGGTTATCAAAACCGGACCGGACCGGCCGGTTCAACCGGTTGAATCGTGAACCGGTGGCCTATCCGGTCCGGTTACCTCACAAAACCGGTCTGGCAATGAACCGGCTGAAAACCGGCAAAATCGGTTTGAACCGCCGGTTCACTTTTTTTCTTTAAAAAAAATTAAACCAAACGACGTCGTTTGTTCAACGAGCCAAGTCAAATTCGAGTATTGCTGAGCTCGACTCGAACTCGAAAACTTTAAAAGTAAGCTCAACCCGACTTAAAAACTCACGAGCTAAAAATTATCAAGTTCAACTCGAACTCGAAATATAATATTAAAACTTGAACTGGAAAAGGCTCGAACTCAAAAAAAAAAATTAGAAGTTCGATTGAAGCCTAAAATTTGAGCTCAATTGAAGCGAAAGAATAGTTCGCTCTGTGCTCACCAAAAGGGTCAATGATTTTAATGTCAAATTACCTCTATTATTTATAGAAGTAAGTTAGGATGCTCTTTTATGTTTCTTAGCCATGTGGTATTGTTTTGTTCTCATATTTTTACTCTTTAAACTTTTGGGATGCTATTCTATGTTTATTAGCCATGTGGGATTATTTTTTAAAAAAAAAATAAACCAAATGACATCATTTGTTATGATTTTTTAAGCCCCAATTTTATTTTTTGATTATAATTATATAATTATATTTATTATTTAATATGTTGTACCTTAAATATTATATTGTAGTTGATTTGAATCATTTTTTCACTTGATTTTATGGTTTTTAATTTATATATGTTATGACTTGTGATATTTTTATATATTTTATTATTGTAAACTTAAAAAAAGTGTTACATATATATTAATATTGCTTTGAATATTATGTAAAATTAAAAAAAAATTATTTTATATAAAATCTGGTTCAATCGCGGTTGAACCAGTACCTTCACCGGTTCAATGTCCGGTCCGATTTTAAAAACATTGATTTTGATATACCAAAAATGAACACTTTTAAAGAAATTTTAAGATTATTTTTAATTCGATTTTTAAGTTTATATTCGATTCAATTGTTCGAATATTTAAATTCTTATTAAGGTCAAAAACATTATTTTTACTCCTTTTGAAAATTAAAGTCATATATTGGAAATAATTTTCAAACAATTTTACAAAGGTTTCAAACTTTAATCGAGTCAAAATTTGATTTTAAACCCTACAGTACTGATACTACAAGAACAATATCGATATTGTTCACGCAATATCGATCCTCTGGATGGGAGTACCAATACTTCTTTTTTGGTTTTGACAAAAACCGATTCCAGTATATACCATTTTCGTACCGATACTCTCAGGGTATCGATAATCTTAATAGAGTACTGAGACTCCCCTCGTGCAACAGTCAAAATTTGTGTAATTAATGCAAGCAATATTGATACTCCAAGCCTAAGTATCGATACTCAAGGCGTCTGAGCAGCATTTATTGTAGTAAACTTCATCCCAACGGCTCTATTAACTCCCACAACAACTCAAACAGCTAGAATTGAATGAGATAATACAAAAACAAGCTTTCAAGTCATATGTGAAGACAATAAATCAAAAAAAAAAAAAAACCAAAGCAATCACATTGAGCCAAAATCAAGTCAACATTCTTCAATATTCTTTTTGTCTTCAAAGAACACTATTGTACTCATTTGTTTTACTTGTTTAGTGTTCTTATTTGTTTTTGAATTGTGCTAACAATTTCCTTGTGAGGTTTTTCAAAGTTTGCAAATTTGTAATTCTCTTTGAGAGAGTGTTCTCAAGAATTTGTTGTATAATTCTTGAGGGAGTTGTAAAGTTACACCTTGTCCACAAAGGTTAATACAAATTAGTGGATTTGTGAAAATCCTTAGTGTGAATAGCTAAGGTAGTGGATGTAGACTTTGGTTTAGAAAGTTGAACCAGTCTAAAAATCTTTTGTTCAATTTCATATTTCTTTAAAGTTTCCATCAAAATTTTTAATTGTCAATTCATCCCCTTTTGGTTATTTCATCATCTTGATTAACTCAAAAATTAGTATCAGAGCTAATCTCATTGTAAGCCTTAACATCCTCTTGAGAAGATCTTTGGAAGAAGACAATCATTTCATCATCAATGGCCACTCTACCCACTTTCAAAATTTTTTGTTAGTCTCAATCCATTTCGAAGCCTTCATATTTTAATGGTGCTAATTATTCTTATTGGAATAATATAATGATGTTATTTATTCAAGTTACCAATTATTTGGTGTGGGATGTCATTATTGTTAGGACTTGAAGAGCTTAATTGAACAACCGAAAATGAGCAAAGGGGTGAATAGATAAAAATTGAATTTAGGGAGTAAGGAGAGCAAAAGATAGAAATATTTGGCATAAGGATTTAAAGTGGTTCGACTTATCAACCAAGTCTACATCCACTACCTAAGTTCATCACTTAGGATTTTCCAACAAAGTCACTAATTTGTTCTTTCTTTTTACATGATCAAGAGATAACCTTTACACTCCCTAGTTTTTCAATGGCTAAATTAGAACCAATCCCCTTTTCACAAAGAAAAGAAATGTAAACAAAAAAATCTCTCTAAGGTAGGTGTTTACAAATAATTAAAGCTCGCAAGAACAAAAATATTTACAAGAGTAAAATAGGAATGAAAAACTCTTCTCTTGTATTTGAATGCTTGGATAGGTGTTCTCTCACCTTTATTCAAGTGTCCTCAACTTGTTTGTATATGTTAGAATGTTGTTATGGCCGTTTCTAGCCGTTAGAGGTGTTTTGGAGCCGTTGGGGATCAATTTTCGTGCAAAATAAAGCTACCTAGAACATAGGGTATCAATATTCCTAAAGGGAGTATCAGTACTACCTTTGTTATATTTAAATCAACTAGCCGTTACTAGCTGTTGGGGCCTGATGGTATCGATATTATACCTATGGTATCAATACTATATACAGAGTAGTATCGGTACCCCTTTGGGTATTGGTACCATTTTTGCATTCTGGAATTTGAACAAAACTGGTAGTATCGATACTACCTAATTAGTATCGATACTTCCCTTACCTTTGGTATCGGTACCATATGAACAATATGGTACTACTTGTCCAGAAAAACGTTTTGTGCTCAATTCCACTTTTAAGGACTTTAAATTATTTTTGAAAACTTTGAATAAATTCAATTCAAGTCCAGAAACATTTTGCCTTAAATTGTTATATCAAAATATAGTTCAGCAATTACCGAGAGAGCATTTATTTCTTCCAAGATGCAAGGAGAGCTTGTGCTACCAAAGGTCAAGTTGGAATGGACCATAAAGATCGAAGACTCGTTAAACTCAATGCCAATGTCATGCACATCATATTTTATGCATTAGGCCCCGATGAATATAGCAAGGTTTCTTCATGCTCAAATGCAAAAGAAATATGAGACAAGCTTGAAATCACACATGAGGGTACAACTCAAGTGAAAAAAATCGAAGATTAGAATTCTCACTCTCAATTATGAGAATTTCAAAATGAAGGATGATGAAGACATTAAAACCATGTCGTATCACTTTACCGCCATCATCAACGATTTAAAGAATTTTGGGAAGGTCTATCCCAATGAAGAAGTGGTAAGGAAGATACTTGCTTCTTTTGCCTACATCTTGGGAAGGCAAAGCAACCACAATCGAAGAGGCCAAAGATTTAGTGTTGTACACCCTTAAAGAACTTATCAGATCATTACTTACTCACGAGGTGAAACTCCAAAAGAAAAAGAAATAGGAAAAGAAGAAGAAGGTGGAGAAAAAGAAAGTTGGAATTATTCTCAAGTCCACCAAGGAAGAGGGTTATTCTAGTGAAGATGATGATGAGAAAATGACAATGTTTGCCAAAAGATTTAGAAGATTCATGAAGTCCAACAAAGGAAGAAGATTTCAAAGAAAATGGGGCTTCAAGAGTGAATCTAAAGAGAATAACCCCATCATTTATTATGAATGCAAGAAATCTGGGGCATATTAAGTTTGAGTTTCCTCAATTGAAAAAGAAAGCACATGCATAGAATGATCTACAAATGGTATAGAAGGGTTAGAAGTGCATTTCCTTTCTCCAAAGTTGCATGAAGTTACTCCAAACTCACCCAACAAGATTCTCTTTGCCCTTACCTTTGGAGATTTCTCCAACCTTTTTCACTAGTCAAAGAACAATAAATTGTTTACTAATCCTAAACTCAAGAATAAGATAAAAAAAACATCATAAAGTATAAATCCACTCTAAAATGGGTTGGTTCCACCAAGTTTTCTAAAACCCTTCTAAACCCACACTAAGGGCACCAAGGCAAACCTTAGAGATTAATGACTCAAACCAAAGCTCAAGAAATGAAGTTTGTAACCCTTACCCTTTAAATCGTCTAAACTCACAGCACAACCAAGTTTCCACCTTTGAAGCACCGATACAAGGAAAATGAGAAAGAAAGAAAGAATGGAGAAAAAGGCAAAAAGACATCTCTTCCCAACGAGTAACATAAGCCAAATAAATAGAATTCAACTTTGAATCAACAAAGGGTTACTTGCTTTCCAAGTCCCTCTTCTTTTGTTCTCAAAACAAAAATTCCCCTTTTTTTCAAGGTTAAGTGGGCTCCAACCCAAACCAAAACGAGCTCAACTTAACCCAAAACTTCTTATTGGGTACATGACTTTATCTAAAACTCACTCGGATTAACTTAAAATTATTAACTTGAGATTTGAGTGTTATAAGTACAATATCGAGTATCTATATTATTTTCTTGATCGTTATCAAGGGTTTATTTGTTTATAATATTCGAGTGCCACTATGATTGCGATTCGATATATTAACAAACTCACAACCGTCAGTCTATTATTTAATTTAAAGTTGAAAAGAAAACCAATTACCATATTCAATTTTCTTGATATAATTCCATTTAAAGAAAATGTTTTTCAACACGAATGAACTTGAATTTTACAGATCATTATTATATCTTTAAAATTAAAAACACTTTGAAAACTACCATTATTACCTTAAAATGTCAACACAAAATTTCCACCATTCCAGAATCATGCAGTTTTCTTAGAATCAAAGCAATAGGTAAATGTAACTTTCAACCACAATTATATCAGAATATATATTATTCTTCAAGCTTTGTTTATTTCTACAGGCAGTTTCATGGAACTTCAATTATCATATTAAATTATAACAAATCTTAAAACATGTAATAATGAGCAAAAAAACAGTATCAATGGTGCCTGAAAGATCAAGCACTTTACCTTAGGACGGCTCTACAGCACAAGAAAACCTAAGGGAACGATATGACTCGGGCTCATAAATTTCACTTTCAGCTCAACAAACACGTATTTCAAACTCACTCACTCTCAAAACTAAGAACTCATTTTGGTGAGTCCCTGAATTAACTGCTTGAAACTAGTAATAAACAAGCACGCTTAAAATACTAAACTTTTACCAAGTACAAAACTTATGGGCAAGCTATGTTGAGGGGGGCGGAAACTTCATCAAAAAGGAAATCGGTGCCGAAATCGCAATCAGGTAACTCACTAGGTTCGTCAGTACCAACAACACAAATACTCAGGTCTTCAATACTGCAATAATCCTCCAACATCATACCAAAATCATTGACGAACAGATAGTCACCGCCATCATCATCTATGTTGAGTTCTTGGCCAACGGAACCAGGCAGTAAAGGATCATTGATGAAACCAAGGTCGGGTATAGGTATATCGTCAAAGTTGGCATTGAACACTTCTGTGTTGGCATCAATGCAATCATCATTGTTGTTTTTCGAGACCAAAACTGACGCAGATGTATCTGCTTCCTGCACCGATGGGGAAGTGTGCGATAAAAGGCTCTCAGACTCCATTGAAGCAGCTGCAGAGCATGAAAGGTCATTGGTTTTCTCAGATAAAGCAGCAGCAGCAGCAGCCACAGCCAGAGCCACGAATTCGAGCTTTTTAGCATTGTAAGCTTTGGCAGCTTCTTCAAGAGTGTCGTAAGTACCCAACCAAATCCTGGTTTTCTTCAAAGGATGCCGGATTTCAGCAGCCCATTTGCCCCACTTTCTTTGACGAACACCAACAGGTTTTTTAGCCTTCAACAAAGGAGATTTGTTATCTCCGAGGGTTTTACTCAAAACCCTTTTCCTGCTAATCGGAGATTTAGTGTTACTGTCTTGAGAAGACGTCTCAGATTCAAGGGGTTTAACCACAGTAGACAACACTAAAACGGGAACCCTAATCTCACGAACAAATCTTCTTCCCCTAGGGGCCCTTGTAGGGACGGTTTCATCTTCGCTCGAAGACGAATCAGTGGCGTAAGGATCATGAAAGATGACCCGAACTTTTCTAGTCATTTGGGCTTCTTCAGTCATTATTGATTCGGTTTTCTTGCTCTTTTTGCAGATTTTTCTTCGTTTCATGGTTTGTTTTCGGTGGTCTAACATTTTTCGGGGAAAAAACTCTTTTAACCCTCCCCCCAAAAAAAACACCTGGAAAGCTGTGGTGACTATGAAAACAAAATCAAGGTACAATAAATAAGTGTGAATAAAATTTCTCTCAGAAAATCAAAGCAATATCAAGTATCGGCCCCTCTAAGATACAAGAAAAAATAGAAAAATCGTTGTTTTATTTGGAAACCACCAAAACACTCAACACCGGAACAAGTCCTGAAAACAATAAAAGAACATTCTGACATCAAAACACAGAAGAAAAAAAAACACAAAAACACATATTCAGATTGAAAATCTAGAGCATGGGTTTATGTGTTTTGACGTACTTTTTTGGTCTCAAACGCATCGAAACAGCCGGGAACACGGGATTCAGTCTCTGCCTAAAGAAGCAGAGAATCATGCAAGAAACAGTCAACAAAGCAGTAAAGAAGACACGAGCAGAGACAATATTTGTTGAAGAAGAGAAACAGAGCTGCAACTGAGCCCCAATCAAAGCCAAATCAAACTCAGCCGACATAAATCCACTAATCAGCCTTCCTTTAGCGCTCTTCGCAACCGCAACGGAAACCACACCGAAGAGAGAAAAAGAAAGACGCTCACAAAAAATACCCTCTTCTCTCTCTTTTTACCTTCTCAAAGAGAAACCAAAACAAAATCAGGGTTTTAGATACTGCTAGATCTAAGAAGGAAAAAGATAAGAAAAGGGATTAGAAATCTATGGCTATGATTTCTCTATCTGTAAGCTAACAAAAACCCTGCCAAAACAACCGCTTATGACTTTGCTACCAACAGTAATATAGACCACAAGGCAAGGAGAAAACACCAGAGTGAAAAACAGTGTAAAAATTATGACCGACCATCGAGGTTTTAACGCAAGGCACAAATCTCAATAAATAGATTAAATATTTTTTATAAAAAAACAATTTTTGTTTCCATTTCCATAAAAAGAAGTCAGATAAAATGTATATTAACATTTTCCATATTTTCCATTACCTTCCCTCTGTAGTGGGTGTAGGCGTAGACTGATACTGGATTTTCTTATTCAAATTTAAACGTCGCTTTCTCTTTTTCTTCTTCTTCGACTGCTCTGTTTTTTCTTCTAAGGCCATTCACCTTTTTACCACTCCGAGCAGTCTAAAACCATCATTTATATACTATTATTGATCTAATTAAAAAGGGAAAAAACTAATTTTATTTATTTATTTATGGAAATAAATAAATGAGCTGTCATGCATATCCCCTTTAATGCCATGAGCCATGACAACTCCATTACCAATCTTACCATCTCATGCGAATCCTGTTTTCACTGCCTTTTTAAAAAAAAAAATTATTTGTACTAAGTTTTCTAATTAACACTTTTCACTCGCGATTATGTCCACGCTCGCATCGACGAGCATTTTAACTTTGGCACCTTGAGATTGGACTGGCTGATGGCGTGTTGAGTACACGCGGGAAGTATTAGCTTGGATATAGAAATGCTTTATTTTGGTATAAAACGAAGCGCCGCGATTTATCATATTAATATTATTTTATAATTTTAAATAAAATTAAAAGTTATTGATTTTAATAATTTAAAAAATAGTTAATATTTTAAAGGTTTTATATTTGAACACGTAACCTATAAATATTTATTCTTAGATAATTAAAATTTATTTACACATATATTATCTTATAATTATTTTATCTAATCAAATAAATAGTTTAAAAATATATATATATAATCAAATCATTCTAATTTATAATAAAAAAATTGATAAATTTCAAAACTAACCGAATGAATATTTACTATACTGATAATGTTGAGAAAATATCAGTAATTTTATTGCATTTTTTGAATGATTTATTTCTTTTAAAATTTTTAAAATGATATTTTTTAGATAATGAACAAGTAAAAAATTGTAAATATTTATTTTTTTGCTGGTAGTTATAGTTATTACAACACGTTTTATTCACTTTATAAATATTTATATCTATACATTTATGCCTGAATTTATAACACATTTACCCTTAATCAATACACCAACAAACAGCATGGATTAAAGCCACAATAAATCCAATTAATTTTTTTAATAAAAATTTTGATGTAACGTATTAAATGTTAATAAGTACCGATTAATTGTGTTTTGTTTTCTAGATACAAGTTGTGAGCATGGGATCCAGGTTGGAGGATAACAGTTAATGTGATTTAATCATCCTAACTGATATAGGTTATTTTCTCTTCCATGAAGTTGCAGGTATAACAACTATATAAATACCATTAAATTATATCAAACAAATAATTATAGGTTTTTTTTTTTAAATTACAAGCAAGATGTTTGATTTAAATTATAAAAATTTGATAAACATGGTAAATAATAACCTTTGGGTTTAACTTCATGTATAATTTATTATACTTTAATGGTCGTTAAACTGTACAAGGGAAAGTAGATTATGTCGAGTCATTTTTCTCAATAAAATGTTATGTCAGATTTTAACAGTATCTATCCATATCTTAAACATCGTCATTTTCATTAAGAGCATTAAAGGTTTCATAACCATGTTCCCATCAAGTTTTTGTGTATAACATGTTTCCCATGTTTTTTATACTCGAAGTTGAAATGATGATCGATACATAAAAAAGCCTCGGAATGCTTGGGAACATAATATATATATATATATATATATTTGTATTTTGTTTAGTGTATTATAATAATATTTGAGACAACAATGATAGTAAGGGCTAACTTAGTGAATGAGAATTCATCAAATGATTTTCTGTGGTTGAAAGTAGAGTTGTTATTCATTAAGATTATGAATTTTATCAGCTGTGTTTATACAATGAGTGTGCATTGACAACGATTAAGAAAGATTTTGAACAGATGCTATTTTATAATCATTTTATACACTCACACCACTGACATTTATAGTGCTCGAACTCAGATCTTCAAGGAATAACAACAATTCCTTTTAACACATATGACATTTGGTTTGTGCTAGTATTTGGATTTAATGTAAAAAATAAGTGTTCAAATGATATGTTAAGTTAATATTTTTGTGTTTAAAAGCTTTTAGTTAAAATTAAGTATATAATATTTTTTTCGTTACACTTTTAGGTGTCTACTATTAAAAAACTCGTTAAATGTCACGTGTTACATTTATATATATATTTTTTAAATTTTTTAAAAATATATAAATTGTTGAAAAGTATATTTTTAATAATATACATTTAAAAATATAGTAGAGAAACGTGATACTATATATATTCTTAACGAAGAAAATTTTAAACATACAAAATTAATTTTGAATATAATTTAAATACTTATTTTTATATTAATTAAGATATTTGAGATGGTAATCGCAGCTTTCAGAGAAAACTGCGAGGGTCCAATTGTCTGCTGTTTCCCAGAGAGAGAGAAAAAAAGGAAAAGTCCCAAGAAGCCACGTCATCAGTTCCGCATCCGAACAATTCAACCAAAATAAAAATTTAAAAATAAAAAAAGCGAAGAAAACTTAGTAAAAATCATATTGGAAAGGAATTTGAAGTTTCAGCCAAATTATCTCAAATAGGGGTGAGCATTCCGTCGAGTCATTTGATTTTTAAAAGCGCACCAAGACGAAATAAAATCTTTTGAGCCTAGGCGCAAGGCACAGTTGTACGCTTTTCGTAAGCAAAGCACATTGTTAAGCTAACGATTTTTTTTTTATTTTGTTAAGCATATCTGGTTGATATTGGATCAAACTTTAGTGTTGATCTAATTAGCTTGATAAACTATATAAAATCCATTAGGTTAGACTGGCCCCAATGTCTAAAGGCCTACATTCTCTTCAATCTTATCATGCACTTTCATAATATTTTTACCCTATTTTATCTCAGCTGCCGTTTCACTTATTGCTAATTTTGAAACAGCTGGATTTACGCAATTTCCTTATTGAAGTAACAGTCGGTGCTTTGGCTGTTTCAATGCAATTAATGACGATGATTAATGTTATTCTTTAATTCTTGTGTAATTAATATCGATTTGTTTCAATTCTTTAATTGATAAAATTGCGGTATGAAAAGGTTGAGACTTAGTATTTCATCTATATGTTCTTATCATTTTTTTTTGCTTAATCTGATTGTTTATTTTATTCTAAAGATCTCTCTTCTTTAGTTTCAATACTTTCCACCACTCTTTACTTATCTTCCTTTGCTTTGCTTTTGTTGTGACCCCTCCTCCGACCCCTTCTTACTGAGAACACTTCTCCCCATCTTCCTTTTGTTTGGAACGAACGAACTCAAGTTGATTAATTTAATTGGAATAATGATTTGTTTCATTTCTTTGACTTTATCTAACCATAATATATATTATATTCTTTCATATTATAATGTTATATTAAAATGTTATTTAATATATCGAATATAATCTAAAATTATAAAATATATTCATAATATTATATTTTAAAGAAAATATTTTGAGAGTAAAATATTAATGAGAGTATAAATGAGTCAAAGAAGTGATGAGAATAAATAATTTGCAAATAATTGTAATCAAAAGATTAAATTGAGTAAAATACAAATTTAAGTGATTAAATAAAAAAGAGAGTACAACTTTAGTAAAAAATAACAATTTAAGTTACATATATATTCTATTGTGGTATATGAGCATGTGGTTTAAATTTGGTAAAAAAATACTTAAAACAAATTACAAATTGAAGGAATAAAGATATTATGAAATATCGAAAGACTAAATTAAAAAATAAAAAATTTATTATCAAAAAGAAGAATTGAAAGTTTTATGTATTCTAATGTGGTTTAGGAGTATATTGCTCAAATTTAATAAAAATCGGACTAAAAATAAATGATAAATTGAAGATATAAGTAGATTATGAAAAATTGAAGACTGAATTGAAAATAAAAAATTATTATAAAAAAGAGGGATTGAAAGTACACATATATTATATTATGGTTTAGAAACATGTGTTTAAATTTAGTAAAAAATAGACTTAAAATAAAAGATAAATTGAAGAAATAATGAAATTAAAACTCTCAAAATACTTAATCATTTTTTAGTTTTTTTAGTAACTCAAAAATTCAAAATTTTAACTCGAATCAAACACGAATACTGAATTTATAATTTAAATTAACTCAAATAATTTAAAATCATTTTTTTAATTTTTTAAGTTAGTCTAATTGTATCCACTTCTAATCTCAAATTAATAAAAAAAAAAGAGGCTGTGTTTGTTAGTAAATAATAATCCTTGTCATCATCGACCAAGTACACAACCCCTACAGATTTCCATCACGTGTCACTCATTCTCCCTCGCGTCGTCCGATCTTGGACTTTGTAAATGGCTATGCTTTTTTTTTTGGCGGGACAGGATAGGCGGCGGGCTCCACGTCACCCTCATTTGGCGGGAAAACGAAGCTACCTCTCTTTACTCCACTCATCTTCCCTTGCGCCCTTATATCTATCTTTTATTTGCAGTCAACATACATGCATACGTACATATGACACGCATGCATACATTTATGATGTTCATTCGACATAATAAACATGGTCATTAAAGTCACGTGACTTGTGACGACAAATACCGATGGACAGTTACAGTGTCTTTCCTAATTAATTTTATTTGGGTTATTGGGCGGGCGTTGCCATGGGGGACAGCCTTATATTTAGTGTTTTTTGCATTTTATTTTTTTCAGCTATTATTTTTATTTTATTTAGGCGGCTGCACATGGTCACGTGACAAAGCTCCCTCTCTCTTAATAAACAACTATTTAAAATGTTTATCGCATTTAATATTA